TTAAAAGTTTATCCTAATCATGCTCGGATTAAGGTCCAGGTAACCAACTTGCATTCACAATCTGACTAGGTGTCATTGCTCTCGAGTACACTTATTTATAAGATGGTAATTTTGATTATCATACTTCTAAATAGGACTGAACCAATTATAATTATGAGAAAGCTGAAGTAATTAATACAACGGTTTTAGATTCGGATACAATGAAATGTTCTTTCCTTTGTACTCTAAGATGATAAATTGTACTGTACTTAGATATAATGTCCTTATACTTCAATTATGAAGATTAAAGCGAACGGAACTCGAAACATCAAATTAACAGAGTTGTTCTGTTCACAACATTTCAACATTTATCTGAGTATAATGGTGAGTTAATTTTTTAATATGGTATAAGAGGGCAAATGGGCACGTGGGTCAGTTGATGGTAAGTACCACCGCCCATGGACACCATCAACTCAATAGTTACAAGTGTGATAGTCCTCCTACTAGAATCATGGGTAACAGGGGTTTGGGCTTCGGTGACCACACTCAGAACTGAACAACGAACGGTTTTCTGTGAGGTTGTGTTATCACGCTGGTCGAGTTGTCCCGTATCCACTGGCTCTATATGTTTTCTTCTAATTTATCTTCTTCCATTACCCTGTCTAAAAACGACTTTATTCCCAAAAAGTATATCCATTCTAAACGTTTTTCTGAAACGTTTAGGAGTAGAATGAATAGGTTCCCTCAAATGGAATAGGCGTGATCATTTTCGTGTTCATCATCGCATTGCAAAATAGTAAGTAAGTATAGTAGGCCAAAACCTCCTTTCTAAGGAGAGGATTATGTCCAGCAGTGGACTATTAAAGGCTGTTGTTGATGATGATGGAAATCTGTACAAACTTGACACAGATACAATCAATAGCTTGTACTCTATTCTGCTTCTATTGTAGTATTGATCATTGTTGAGTACATCAGAAAAGGTTTAGGCATTGGTCCCTTTAGAAGAAAGTGAGCGTGAAGTGTTGACGACCAGTGAACAGCGAATGAGTATAATATAAAAGCAGTCAAGTTAAGGCGATGGCTAGTGACTGTAAAAGGCAGTAGTGTAGAAATCTTGTCTTTCAAATGAATACACTCGAGTTCACTTAATTATAAAGGTGTGAATAGTTTCTTTCAAAGAAAGGAGTTCTCTACATCACCAGAACCACCAGTAGCATACACTCACGTACACTCCGGAATCCATCTAAATAATGGAATCCCTATCCACTGCCGCCCACTGCTTCGGTGGTGCAGTAGTAGCATATGCGACTGATGTATTGAGGTCTTGGGTCTGTCTATTTTAGACCAAAAACCTCATAGCTTGTAAAATTTCTCGCTGTGGATTTGCCTTAATTTTACCGCTATGGATTCGTCGAAATCAATGTTGTGTGTCCTTGTGACAGACGGATGCACACAGTCAGCAGGCATGGTTTTATCACTGTCTTCGTAATACAATTTTATTGTAAATGAGGCTAAAACTTGATGTGCCTTTATCATTCGAAAAAAAATATGTATATGGGTTATATTAACAGCAGCATTTTTAGTAACATTTATATTTTACTATGCATATACATAAGTTTGAAGTAAAAAGATTACTATTCTATAAAACTACTGGACTAGACTCTCTAAAGTCCCCAGTCCATATTCTTGAGTTGTTGTTATTTGTCGGCTTACCTGAATGCCCCCTAGTGCCTCAGAACGACTTGCTAAAAGAGGAATAGACCCAAAAACATCTCGATTTTTACGTCTAGAACTTATTGAAGGCCGATGCAAAATAAGATACGCTAGGTATCAGATAGCTTACGTCATATGACACGACATCCATCATTCGATACGGGCGTCGTCTAAATTTTATCGCTGGGACTTAAAGGACTAACAAAACCTTTATTTATTTAAACTATGATCTCATGAAAAGCTTATCATATGGCAGAATAAATAGCAAACAATAATTAAATGTTAATTTATTATTATAAGATATTTAATTTAAGTATGATTTCGTTTATTACGGACAGGAATATTGGAGAAGCCATAATTATGCCGTTACCTTCGCCATTAACATTTTTATGTTAAAGCCAGTATAGGAAACGTTCATAGGTCCTAATAGATACACTAAGCTCCAGGTACGTTATTCTCGCAGTGGAAGCACTATTCACAACACATAACTGGCAAACGATGCATTTACTATTCTGTTCTATATTTAGTTAGTGCCGATTCTATATAAAACAGCTATAGATACTTGATGTTCCTGAGATATATACACATCATTGTTTTCACAATCAATTAGCCAATACCAATAGCCAGATTTATGTTAATAATACCACCAAAAAGGTATAATAGTAGCCTTCTTCAAAAGAAGGAGGGGTTTTTCTATTCAGTGGTTTATCTAATATATAAAATTCTCGTGTCACGGTGTGCGTGGTTGAACTCCTCCGATTTTCGTGAAATTTTGTGTGCATATCGGGTAGGTCTGAGAATGGGCCAACATCTATTTTTCATACCCCTAATTATTATTTTTTGACAAACATTTTTGAAATAATGTATATGGCAAAACAACGTTTGTCGGGTCAGGTAGTTTTTATGTTTATTAGTTCAACTGCGAACGCATGAACTGATTTGTAACATTCTTCTGTTATTAGAAGGATATACTTCCTTTATAGTATCACCCCTAGAAATATTACCACCCCGAAGGTAGGAGTAGGAGAGGAGGATAGGGAGGGTCAAATTAAGGAATGAACAATACAGTGTATGACAATTCATCAGGCTGAAATTATTGATAATTACACCTTAAACAAAAACATATTTTAAAATTGCCCTAATGTATCGTGTTTCAAAGTCGGGATTTTCATAGATATCGCAACTTGTTGGCAACTTCTCAACTTTTCATAAAATATAACTGAAGTTTTGGAAATTTTCTTAAAAGGAAGCCCGCAATTTCAATACATTTATGCAATCTTAATGACTTTCTGAAATCGAGATGCTTTAAGTTCATTTGGAAATTAAGGAAGTTTTGTCTCACCGAGGGTGCTTCGAAATGTTCATTTAAAAATCGAGATACAAAAAAGTTTGTGCTTTCTTTGTACTTTTTACACCAATTATGATAAAACTATGGATTGAAGATATTATTTGGTAAAATGTTTTTCGTTTTAAAATAATACTTTAGTAATAGCAAAAACCTTGTTTATTGTTATATAGAAATTAGTACAATATAACAACTAAATTATAAATATTTATAAAAAGAGTATACTGGACTAGATAATATCAATAACAGTAGTACAAAAATTAATTTCAGCTAAAAAAAAGACCTAGAATCAACGTTTTTTTTTTTTTTAAAAAGATAACTCCCGCATTAGGAATAAATCCTGTGTCGCGGGGGACTTTACAAACATACATGAAACGGACACAAAGAACACCCAGACTCAGAACAACAATTTGTGGATCACACAAAGTGTCGTCCCATGTGGGGTTTGAACCCACAACACTCGGCGTAGTAGGAAGCGGCGTGGCGACCGCTTAAACCACTACGCCATCCGTGCAGTCAACGTTTGTTGCATCATAAGTCCATAAACAGCAAAAAGATAAGAAAGATAAGTAAAACAAAAGAAAATTCAGAGATTAATTGGGTAGCAATGGTAATACTGGTTACATAACCAAATTTTATAACATTAATTTTTAATTAAGGTAACCAATTCAAGTAGTTTGTTCCCCTTGTCGACTCGTACGACACCCACAGAATGATTAGACGTGGTGACATTGCGTATTCTTAATCCGTCACCACACTTTGCAAGATTTTTGCAAGTTTAAAATAATACCCTCCATTAAATCGTACTATAATATATTTCTTAAAATATTTTCACACTTAATAAATAACATTGTTCATTGAAAATTCAAGTAGTTAGCAGAACATATTATCTACATACAAAATAGTTCAATAGCGAAATTTCCTACAGACATATTCCACAAGAGCCAACTTATTAAACTCTCAAACCAGCCAAGTTTATTAACTGTGCAAGTCCATCGATCTTAGCCATGCCTGCTGAACTCATATTAAGGTCAGGAGCGAACATAGTCATATTTGTATGATCTACAAATATTTGTGCGTTTTCTATGTATAAATATGTATGCTTTCACAAAAAAAACGTATGTAAGTATTCTATCAGTCAAACTAGCTTTCATGGTACAAGCTCTACTTAGTTTAAAACTAGATGGCGTTATGTGTCAGATGTCCGACGATCTTGTCTTATTAGATAATAATAATAATATTCTACCACATTGACACAACGCCATCTAATCCCAAACTAAGCAGAGCTTGTACTATAGGTACTAGACAACTGATACATACTTATTATTCATAGAAACACCCAGACGAAATCAAACATTAAATGTTCATGCACACAAATGTTTGACTTGAGCGGGAATCGAACCCGCGACCTTTGAAATAGCAGTCCGTTACACAAACCACTACGCCATCCGCCATATAATTATTATTGTAAAGAGTTCCATTTAAGTTTTGAGCGGTTTTTCCTGTGTCTAGTTTAGACGATCAGATAGTTCAAATCAAATCAAATAAATGATTTGATTTGATTTGATTTGTTCACTTGATAATAAGGGATTAGAACCGCGGTTAGACACCTACAACTCAAGAGACATAATTTACCGGCCTTTATCTCCGCTAAAATTGTAGTGGAGGGACAGGGGAGGACACGGGCCTGAATCCTCATTGCATCGGTACACATCCAACGACAGGCCAGTCTTCTTTGAGGCCGGGGTGTCTTCTGGCGCTGGTTCATATGTGTCAAGCATGGCTCTCCAACGGTTTTCTGTTTATCATATTTTTGAACCATTTAATATGAGCCTCTTTCATGAACTATCAAAATGAAGTCACTATCAACCAGTCAACACAACTCCTAATAAGTCACACCTATTCACTGCTTTATTTTAGTTTTCTGAGCAAAGAAATTTAAAAAATCATTTTCATGTTCCAGATGACGTCACATATCCTACATCGTCGGAATGGTTGGACGGCAGCAACTGTTCATGGGTTGACGCGGTGTCGTGGGGCTGCAATACCACCATTAATGGCACCAGCTCCAATGCCACCAGCACCGACGTCACGTCGCTCGTCCTCATGACTGTCACTTCCGTGGTGCTTGCTCTTATTATACTAGCTACTATTGTAGGTAAGTCTCTTTTTGTTACCTATTATGTCACACTAATAAAAATCGATATATTTTCATCATTAAATGGAGTACGCAATATTTCTTGAACTTGGTGTTGATCTTACTTATACGGGTTATCGTCTGCGGTATTTCCGGACCGATAGGACCTTCAAACCTTCAATAAAAGAGCGTAGTTCTTCCTAAAAGGCCGACAACGCGTTTATGACTCCTGAGTTGCAGACGTTCATGGGCCGACGTCATTTATTCCGTGTGGTGACGGATTAAGAATACAGAGTGTCACCGTGTCACCTATTCATCCTAATGGTGTCGTAAGGGCCGACTAAGGGAAAAAACTACGCAGAACACCAGCACTGCAGAGAGAAGGAAAACTTTACACAAACCCTATACCAACCCGTCTGGCCAGCGTGGCATAGTAGGCCAAAACCTTCTTTCTAAGGAGAGGCTTATGTCCAGCAGTGGACTATTAAAGGCTGTTGATGTGATGGACCGCGATGGTCTTTTTCCATCAGGTAACCCGTCTGCTCGTCTGCCTTCTCTAACATAAACTACTCAAAAATCTTATGATAAATACCCTACACTACAGAATATAACGATTAGACAGTTACCAGTATACAGATTAGGTGAGTCATACTCTCTCACAAATATTCATGGACAGATGAATAGACTATACATAGACAGATGAACTGACAATTCATCTTATAAGGGTTTCTTTCTTTTTTTTAACGGATGAATGCGATTCTTGAGTGTGGGGATCACTCTAATGTAATATCACTAATATTTAGATTTTTATCTATTTAAACAAACTGGATATAAATTCTTATCTGTACTGTTGCTTGTTTATGAACTTTGTAATAAATTCCACAATTTTTTTTTTTTTTAAAACTTAAGAAGTACATATAAACAAAATAAAGCTATTTATTTTTGAAATACTTTCGAGGCTCGTGGTTAAGTGGTAACCGAGTAGGTTAACACATTTTAAAGTTAAGCCATCCTAGCGAAGTCAGTCTATGGATGGGTGACCATTCTGAACACATTCTCCCAGAGCCTCGGAGAGCACGTTTTGCTGTCGATCTCGGTTGCCGCACCAACATCTGGGGCAATCGTTACGGGTAGTTTAAACCGTAAAAGTTCGACAACAGTGTTTCTCCAGTACTTCGATATCGCCCAGTAATTAGGTTGTGAAGGTCTGATGGCAGACGTTTCCTTAAAAAAAAATTACGTTCAGCTACTACAATACAGTAAACTTAAAAGCCGCTCCAACCTTTTTTGGGAAAAAGGCTCAGAGGACGAAGATTTTTGAAATACTTATATATTAAACTTAATAATAATATTAGGTATTTACCTATGAAATTGCCGTTTTGTATGCCGACCTTGCACCTACCGACTATTACTTTTTCCAAAATTTAGACAACTTTTTAGTGGGTAAAAAATTCAAATACTACAAATATTTACGAATCGCTATAGCGCCTTTTTGAGTTCTTACACCAAAAATCATAAATAATGTTCACATTCCTAGTAGAGCTTTGTAAAACATAGACATAAACAGTATTTTATTTTTAGTATTTGTTGTTATGGAGATAGTACGGTTCAAAGGATACATACATTTTCAAGATAGAGCAAAGACAAAGTTTATCGCATGGGAAGTCCTTTCATATTTTAACTTTATTTTATTTTTATTATTTGTTTTGATGGCGGATACTATGAAATAAATGCTCGGGACTACTACATAATAAGATATTATGTAGTAGTCCCAAGCATTTATTTCATGTAATCATGAATTTCAAATTAAATAGTTATAGTGTTTATTGAGTACTGGCGTAATCATCTATCTTGTGTAGCTTCCATACCTTTAGCCCTTAAAAATGACAGGTAGAAATAAACGCAGGTCTCTAAACACAAAATGATTAATAGATTTGAATGCAAGCAAGAGTTTATTTAATAAATACCTTGCATGTCCATGTCGAAGACGTGCTTTTTATAAAGTCAAACAATGGTTCAAATAATTGTAAAATAGATACTAAGAAGACAGTTTACTTTTACATATATTTTTACAATAAAAATTCCATATGCGGCCAGGAGGAATCGACAGGCGAGAGCCAGACACACAAGTTTTAAGCGCTGAAATGTTCGGAGAATTATTTGTCGGCAATACCTTGTCTTGTGTTCGTCTTCCTTTTCGATTTGCACTTATTTGATACGTTCCACAACTATTTTTGCTTTACTCAGCACTTTCCGGTTGACTATTTCTTGGTTTAAATATCATCGTTTGAAGTCTATTCCGGTTGACAGACGGCAGTGGAGGCCTTGTAACAGGGTTGGATGTGGATACCCTATGTGATATGGTAGAAGATTGTCAAACTAACCGTAAAAATTAAATAATAATAAAAAAGCCGTGTGGTGGCGTGGGACACCCGATAGGAACGAAGTTGTGACGATCGAGTAAAACTGATTCGACACGATTTTAATTACAACGCCATCTATGAAAGCGGGTATTACCTACATATTTCTCAGTTGGTTTCTAATTAAAACAATTTATACATTTATAGATGGCGCTGAATGACTGACAAGTGACAATTCAAAATAAAAAGTGTCGTTACAAGTTTTCGTGAGAATTTTTCCGTCTAGCCCCCTTTCACAACGCGCGATAAGGAACTTCGTTCCAATAATAATATTCTACCACATTCACACAACGCCATCTAGTCCCAAACTAAGCAGAGCTTATACTATGGGTACTAGACAACTGATATAAAAACATTTATACTTTTTTTGTAAATACACACTTATTATACATAGAAACACCCAGATCATATCAAATATTAAATGTTCATGTACACAAATGTTTGACTTGAGCGGGAATGGAACCCGCAACCTTTGGAATAACAGTCAGTTCACAAACCACTACGCCATCCGGTCGTACGTACGTAATTGTACTTCATTTTTAACATAATGCCTTTTTTTGCAATCGTTTGGTTTCAGTTTCTTGAAGGTTAAATCCATGTTCTTTCTCAGTTCATAAAACTTGTAGAGATTATTTTATAGTACTTTGTTGAGCATATTTACATTTCTAAATAGCAAATAAATAAAACTATATATGTACATGTACGTTATATTCTTTGTTAGCTTTAGCTTTTGCCCGCGGCTCCGTCTGCGTGTAGGTCGGTTATCGCATTAAAAAGTATCATATTTTATTCGCTGATAATGTTGCTTTCCATTGGGTAAAGAATTTCCTAAATTGGTTTAGTGGTTAAGGCATGAAAGCGTAACAAATAGAGATACTCACTTTCACGTTTATTATACACTAGCTTTCGCCCGCGGCTCCGTCCGCGTGTAGGTCAGTTATCGATTTAAAATGTAACATATGTTACTTAATGATAATGTAGCTTTCCATTTGTGATTTTTTAAAATCTGTTTTGTGGTTTACAAACAAACAAACAAATATAAAACCTCACTTTCACGTTTATAAGTATACATACATTTATAAGTGAGATTTATACTATAATAAATAAAACATAGGTAAAAGAATAAATTGTATTCAGTCGCTTCAAAGGGCTTAACCTTTTCAGACAACAGTTTTTGCTTTTATTCCCAACCCAGATCACAAACTATCTCTCATGATTGTGACGACAACATATATCGTAAAAGTAAAAAAGGTCTTAACGAAGAGAAATACAAATAAGAGACAAATACTTTTTTCATCTGATGAAATCGTTTTTAGCACCTCTATAGCCGTAAAATTCGAATCCGTCTGAGCGTTTTAATCCCTCGAATCATATAAGCACTTTATTTGTATACTTGTAAAGTACTTTTTTGCTTGAGTGTACTGTCTGAAAAAAACGAGTAAATTTCTATTGTAATAAAACCTCTTTGTACGCTTATTTCTAATCAAATTGATACGAAAGCTGAATGGACGGGTTTACTGGTTGTCAGCCAAATTGAAGATACTTACGAATGCGCTTTGTTGACAAGGGTACGTTTGCACTATCCTTAAAAGCTATACGATGCTATAATATTTCAACTATTTGTCCTCCTATCTATCACCAAGTTCTATCTACCTTTATTTCTTGTTTGGATGGGAGACCAATCTGCTTAAGGAACAGACGAGGACGATGTTTAAGGAACGTAGAATAGACTCACGAATAACGTGAGTGGTTTACTTCGTACTGTGAATAAGAAATTAATAAAAGAGGTATTTAAAGTGCTATTCTTCATAAATTTATATTTGTCATAAGTTTTCTATTTTAATTTCCTCCGACATTTAGGAAAATAAAAACTTGTAGGTTGAAAAAAACTGCATCATCAACAGCCTTTAATATTTCACTGCTGGGCATAGGCCTCTCATTAGAAAGGAGGTTTTGGTCTACTACACCAGGCTAGTTTGTGTAAAGTTTTCCTTCTTCTTCGCAGCGCTGTTGTCCTGCGTAGTTTGCTCCCTTAGTCGCCTCTTACGACACCCACGGGATAAATAGGGGTGGTGACACTCTGTATTCTAAATCCGACACCACACGGTCTCTGTACGTCCACGAAAAAAACTGCGTAAATACAATATAATATAGTTGTTGTAAATAGAACAGCCAGTATTTTTTACAAAAAAATCTTGTTAAAAAAGATTTTTACATAAGAATAATAAACCATCATAGCGAAAAAAGGACATGCCTTTTTAGTACGAGATCTTTTCGTGATACGTCACGCGAATGTAATTCCAGACCCTTAATATTTATATTCTAGTAAATCTTGATTTAGTTTCGTATTTATTTTTCGCACAGAAAACCCCTTTTCAATTGCTAAACGCTTCGAAGATACTGGCGAAGAAAAAAACCTTTAAAAAATTATGGAGTTAGAAAGGTCTTTGAAATCCAACTTCAATCGCCAATCGTTATAAGCTCCGCTGAACAAATATAGCCCTTTACAACTAAATGTATGTAGGCAAATTACCAATTTTACATAACGCGTATATAATACGTCTATAAAGTGTATTCAACAAAATAGTTAACGTTACCTCT